CAAGGTACATATACACCAAGTATCAAAGCATTCAGGCTTGTAGTTTTCAAGAAGAAGTCGAAAAAGTAAAACATTGACACGGACGACGACGACGGACAATCACTCATATGATAAGCTCCGCTCGACAAAGTCGACAGCGGAGCTAAAAATATTCACCAAAATTAGAGAATTGAAGATATCATCACAAAATGAACAAATCTGAGAGAGGTCCACATGTAGTACCTATATATGTAATATCAAAGCAATCGAACTTGCGGTTTTTAACAAGAAGTCGAAAATATCATTTTTTACCAAAAATGACAAAAATATTCACCAAAATTAGAGAATTGAAGATATCATCACGAAATGAACAAATCTGAGAGAGGTCCACATGTAGTACCTATATATGTAGTATCAAAGCAATTGCACTTGCGGTTTTTAACAAGAAGTCGAAAATATCACTTTTTACCAAAAATGACAAAAATATTCACCAAAATTAGAAAATTGAAGATATCAACATGAAATGAACAAATCTAAGAGAGGTCTACCCAAGGTACATATACACCAAGTATCAAAGCATGCAGGCTTGTAGTTTTCAAGTAGAAGTCGAAAAAGTAAAACATTGACACGGACGACGACGGACAATCACTCATATGATAAGCTCCGCTCGACAAAGTCGACAGCGGAGCTAAAAAGAAGCAATTGTGTCAAAATGGAGGAACATTGTAGTAGCGACAATTAAGGTGATGTTATAAAAAAAATGTCAATTTCAATATTCTGAAATAAAGTTGCTGGTACCAGAGAACAAAATTTGGGTTGCAATATAGAGATGAATAACAAAAATTGCCCTTTTTTATTATATCTGATTTGGCAACTTAAATTTTCAGGCTAATACCTGCCGAGGACATGAAATGTAGGCAAGGTCAATCAATACATGGAGACAGCCTCAGCCTCATATAGTATTTATACTCAGACAGCAAAGAGACGCCAAACTTGCACTTGACAATAAAAGGCACACTCTTTGTGATAATGGATAAATCAACAATACACTAATGTACAGAATAATGGGATTACAACAAAATGACATGTGTCAGACACAACTGCTAAAGCTAGCATGAGGTGCACAACTTAAATTTGGTAAAAATTAATTGCTGGGAAAAAGAGCCAGTGTGGTTCTTTTGAAATTCGAAATGATTTCTGATAAAAGAAGTTGTACAGGAAAGCCACTAATATTATTGTACAGACAGTTTTGATACCATCAAGGCAGGCAGAGTTTGGTGCAGACACACCATCAGTTTAGCATAAATTTTTATATTTGGTAAATGGACCATTTCATTTGATAATTTATTAAACTCATAGGTGAGTATCACAGGACTATACAGTCCACTGCGATCGATATACTTTTAAGGTCTCAACATGCCATGGTGTTCAATCAATATATCTCTTTACAGTTTATTAAATTATTGGCACAATCCAGACAGTGTATTATATTTGTGCATTTACCAATCTCTGTAATCACATCAATCCTTTAACACCAAGTCACACAATGGTGGTATGTATAAATTTATAATTTAGATGGCGAAAATAATTAGATTTATAACTAAAAACGGCATTCTCATTACCAAGCATAGATCTTACCACAAGTATGAATCTGTAGCAAAACATGAGATGTCAAATTCGTTTTGTTTTTCATCCAAAAGTCATTGAAAATTTTGGTTTCTAGAAGTGTTTTTTTCTCCATTTATTTAAAAAGTCAATAACCATTCTCACTGTTTCTCATATCAAAATCCTGTTGTTATTCTTCTCACATTATTTTTAAAATAATTAATCCATAAAACAATAATTCAAAAGGAAACACTAGATAATGATGTGCTGATTACGAAATATTAATTCCATTTAATCCGTCAAATGATGATAGAGACATGACAAAGCCACGCCAGATGGCGAGATGATAGATATTTCGTATACTTACTAGAAATTAGCATAATGCCAACAATGGGAAAAGCATAATAAAAAGGAATGATGTTTACCCATTATTGTGATCTCCAATTTCATTTATAAGGAAACCTATAATTGTAATTGACTGTTTTTTATTCATTTCACACCCATCTGTTAAAGCAAACGCACTGACTAATATGCTAAGTACATAATACAATTTGGTGTCCTGGTGTCCATTCTATTACCGAGCAGAATCAATACTTCAAAATTTGTCTTTGTTATTTGACAACTTCATAGCACCCAAGAGCTTACACATAGGAAACTAATTTACTTTACTCTCCCATGATGCATTGCAATGTTTACTGATATATCACAGTAACTTTTAGCCAATCATATCAAACAGTATGTTCACCACTTGTAAAGTACAACATCTCTACATGGTGATTGGCTTATTTCAACAGCTGAAGCATGGATGAATAATTATGCTACAGACATCACATTTGGTCTATCAGTAGCATACGTAAGTAAATGACAGAGGTGTGTGTATGGTCATAAAACCATAGTTGTTCTATTAGTAGGCATGAGTCATAATGTAATGATCCAGCATAAATGTAAATTTTGGTTCATGTGTGATTTATTAAAAATGCATGTCTCATAAAGCAAATACTGTAGAATACTTTATTTTCGCTTGGAATTCATTTTCGCTATTTTCGCTAAAGGGGTGATTCTGTGAAAATAAAATCCAGCAAATATACTTTTTTTCCTATATTTTACATTCAATTCATCAAAAATCAGTGAAAATAAATTCATACAAAACACCTATTTTCAGTGAAAAATAATTCCAGCTAAAATAAAGTATTTCACAGTTGCATAATGATGGAACATGAAAGGCCAACTGCTATGATACAGGGCACACCATGCCTGATAGTCAGCATACATCAGAACATTATTTTGTAAGTAAAAAACAGCAAATTGTATTTTCATGAGGCACAAATTCTGAAAACGATATTCTGTTACTTAGTGACATGTTTTTACAACCAACAGAAACACTTGGGAAAAAAAGTCAATCAATAAACAAAATGGAAGTGAACAGCTGAGATGATGAATAACTAATGACATTCAAGTAGTCAGCAAATATCTATCCTAGGCTGTGCTAATTATGTTTGCATAGTCTCACTTTAGAGAAAGACTATGAGAATAACACAATTTGTCAATTCCATCACGGGTGATAACATGCTCTGATTACATGCAGCGTTGATGTAAGTGTCAATGATTGATTGGAAAATACTGTGAAAAATCATGCTTTTATCCTGCAGACTCTTTGATAACATAAGTATGCTAACAGTCACCATGAAATAGCATGTATTCATGAATGTGCACTGTGAACTTGATGTATGTTTCCCATAGACAATTATGCAAATTCAGAGAATCAGATATACTGTACACATGGAGTCAATGAGTCTAGTGTCCAAAGGTAGTAAAATGTAGAAAGGGTCTTTTTTTTTATCTTTAAAATCAGATACTAAGCACAGTACTTAGATAACTGTGTGCGACACTGAATCAACTACACATAAAGTGCTATTTGCAGAATGAAATCTACAGGGGCAGGGGATTTTAAAACGATCTAATCATATGCATTCCATTAGCAATCCTAAGAGAACAGGTGAGAAAGATCACACTAAGTGGGCTAAAACATAATAACGTACCATAACTGTAACTTGACTTTCTTGCCGTCTAGTAAGATGGTTGTTGTCTTGTGTTCAATACCTATGGAAATACAGAAAAAAATATTTGTTTTCAAATCTGGTGCAAAAAACAATGAAAAAACAGCATCCCTCACATATTTGATATTATTATATCTGTCATCGTAACGCCATAAGTTACAGTGTGTCGTAATTTTGCGGTATTTTACGGTTTTATCATTCAATTTAGCGCATTTTCCAGTCAACGAAATAAGCAAAATTAAAACACAGTGAATAATTAACCCTTTACAGTGATAATAAGCATTTGTCGATGTAACGGCGTACTGTCCAAGTAATAACCTCATATTATTACACGCCTAGATCTCTAACCTTTGGCGCTGAGCACTACAATATTTTTTTTTTGTACACATATTTTTTTACTCTCTTGACCCTTGACCTCCCTATCCGATCAATGAAAACACAAACCCAAATAATCGCGGAGCATACATGTTGAAGCGCACGCTGTACAAGGACACAAATCCAGCATATTGTTGATAATCTTTTTACTGTAGTGTTCTTATTTTTAGCAGAGTAAATACCGTATTTGAACTTGATATATGTACCTTTGATCTTGAGCTACATAGACTACAAATGTAAATGGTTCGATAAATAAGAATTGTGTCACAGTGAAACAATTAAAACAAACTTAATTGAACTTGACATATGTACCTTTTTTTTTCAGTTCAATAAATCCGAATTGCGTCACAGTGAAACAAACACACTATGATATCTTAATTCAACTAAATATGTGTGTATGGTATACAATTTCACACACATTCCTGATATTTTCAACAAGTCATTCATCATGCTGTTGGATTCTATAGTTAAAGAACAGTAGTCATCGTGCCACGCATGAACGTGATATGGGTCTAATATAAACAAAGATGGCCGCTATGACTGTTGTGCAGATCAACGAGTACAAACTGAGACGTTACCAAGCTTTAATAAGGTATTTTTTAGGTGATTGGAAGACATCACCGGTGGTAATTAGTGCAAGTTGCGCCCAGGTCAAAACATGTACCGGTACTTGTAATTTAGAGCGCATTAGAAGAGCGCATGCACAGTGCGCCGACCACAGACCTTTAAAATCTACAATCTCACAGCAACTAACATAAAGCACACTTATAAATAAAACTTGTAAATTCTAAGAGGTACTTTATAAGAAAGAAGAACTAGTATTTTAAGTGTAACCGTATCCTTTTCAGTATTTAGGTTGCCCCTTAAGCAGCTAAAGACTATGAACTTAATTATCCATATTAAAATAAACTACTTTGTGTACTTGCACACTGGAAATTATTGTGTACTTGCACACTGGAAATTATCACAGTACACCAATGAGTTACTATTAAATAGGAAAACCGTTCAGTAGTTTAAATTGTACAAACACTGCCACTTATGCAAGCGTGTGCTTGATATACCTTTTGAGGACATTTTTCGTGACTATGGGACTGGTACGTGACATCACTGACACTGACAGGTCCCATATAATTTATATTAAATACTTGTTTTCAAGATTTATTTTCAGTGGTGCATTTCTAAAACTAGTGCTACTATTTAGCGTGTCTCCAAATCTATCACCATGAAAAAAGCAGGCAGTAAATTATACTTTATTATAAAGGGCTCTTTTTTTAATTACATGTAATTAATTTACTTGTTTAAATGTTGCTGGTCTTGAAACTTTGGTATTCACAATCACAATGTAAGAAGTTAATTGTCCTTATCATATACCTAGAGTATTGCCCAGCCTCGTAACGCTATGGGATGCGCACCCTCACATCAGGGCAATAATATCCCGTATCACACCCGGCCCAGTGCGCTTGGTTTTCATCCATCAAAATAAAACACGTCATTTTAAATTACATCATGCATTTAAGGTCATGCTGTGGTAAAATTGTAATTACACCTATAAGGCATAAGATAAAACCTTTATGGACTGGATATGGCTTTTGTGGCCCTTGGTCATACTGCTAACACACCCTCCCAAGCTTGGACACTTCCGCTGCACGGCCATGAAGTCCAGTCCATGAAGATTATTATCAGTGTCAGGTAAAAAAAAAAATCTCAAATTTTGCATAAAAATATTTATCATTCTTTACATACCCATATGATACTTCAGTATCCCTCCCCAAAATGAATGAAACAGTGGCAACAAATGATATTGAACAATATAGATATTCAAATAAATAAAATGAAATCATACCATACCATACTGTAATGTTATGCCACTGCTGTGAAAATACTAAGGCATTTTATCAGCTGTGTTCTATAAATAACATTAAGGTCTGTTATCTTATCAGAGAATTGGATTTTTTGAAATCCAGAATGGCACATCAAGCCATTCCAATGCATTTTGTGAAATTTATAGTTTTAATCTTTTTCGGAATTTTGTAAACATCTATCTTCTATATAATGTATGGTGATGTGTTGTCACTTTCAAATCCTGATCAAAATTGTTAGTAAATTGATAAAAACCACACAGATATCATATTATTACAAAAATTTACAAATTTTCAGTGTAAAAAAACAAACAATATGGTATTATTCAGACACAATTAACCCTCATATAGATATAGCTGAATAACCTACATTGATCCAACATTATGAAAACATTCTCTCCATCGATCTAGGGATAGCGGTATTGATCTAGATCCAGAGATCTGGAGAAGCTTGAGACTAAATCAACAAAACACTTATATCAACAACTAACAATGGATAATACTTTTTAGATTATATAAACACCCTCAGGTAACAGCATGGGTAGATCCACACTTATATCCACATAGCCATTATGAATGAATGCTAGGGAGATATACCGTAATCTGCCAGTAAGCAAGGGAGATATAATCTGCCAGTAAGCAAGGGAGATATAATCTGCCAGTAAGCATGGGATTTGTCAAATATTGTGTGCAGTCAGAAACACACATGGGATTTATCATATTATATCAGTGATTATTATGAAAGCCAAATGTGCTGCTGTTGTTGTTGTTGCATGCTGTTGCAGTTGTTGGTGACATTTGAAAATCTGTAATTCTCATCAAATTCAAAATTAAAATGCTACACAGTTGTGTGCTCATCAAGGTCCTATACAAAATGCATGTACATTGTTTTTTTTGTTTTTTTTTATACTATTTTTGTGCCAAGTGACAGTAAATCCCAGCCAGTGGATTTAGCCTTCCCATTGAGTCTGTGGCACACTTCACCCAGGGTAGGGGTCAATTCATTTTTGGTGTTTAGAAGGATTTGAATTTTGGTCTACAGATTGTGGGTCTGATGCAACAATCACTAAATGACCACACAAAAAATTACGTAAAATAATTAAACACAATCTATGCAATGTTTAAACACGCTGACTGCTGACCCCATTTTGTGGCTATATCCATGGAGGTTTTCCGCAGAAGATGTGTTGAATTGAAACCAATCAGCCAGAATAAAAAAACAGATTTAAAACAGGATTACTTCTTGTGGAAGGCGACAAAAGTTGGCAATGGTGGTGATTAGGTCAAGCCAAATAATAATTATCAAACTCTAAAGTTCATACACTGCTTCATAGCAGTAATTCTCTTGGGACGAATGAGATTCATTCCAGTGATAAATGTTATGAACATCTAATCTCATTCATGATATTCTTACCCCAGGCTTAACAGTGGATAATAAGCTATTTCCGATTTCAATTTGATTTTAATGTACTAGAGAGTGTGGATACACCAGAAAATATGGCATAAAACATTCCTCTCCATCGGTTGATGCACACATGTACACCTCCATGTACCAAACAATGTAATAACCGCAGACAATATTGTAATACAATTCAACCCCAGTGGACTACAGATGTATTTGTAGAGCACAGGGTTATGAAACAAAATGAATTAATGAGACGCATACTCAAAGTAAAAGAAAAGGAAAGCAAGAGTGAGCAAGCCAGATAAACTAAGAACCATCCCAACATGCAACATGTTCCCATAGTAACATATTAAGCTCAATTGCTTCTCTAATCCCTACGCCACACAACACTTCAACCAATCTCAAAATGGCCATTCTATTAAAAAAACTTACAGTAGGTTAAAAGGCATCTTGAATGATTTGGCAAATTTAAACCTGTTCTGATTTTATCTTTTCGCTTCTTCTTTTTTATTCTTTTAGTCTACTGATGCAGAAGGAATGCTGAGAATCTGAATGTGGTATAAAGATGGAAAGTACCATTTATGTCAAAGGGGTGTCAGCTATTAAGGATTTCCAAAGTATGGGATTATGTTGAAGTGGAATGTAAAACTTAAAATGATATATTAATACTAATCATACCCTTACCGGGTTACAATATAACTTTGACATTTGCAGTAAATGTTACATGCTCTTGTGTTTGTGTCATGAATGAAAGGAAATATGACGAGCTTGTACCTATCCTTCAGCAAATGTATAAGACTAAATTATTTCTATTAGATTTAACAATAATAACATTATATCAATATTGTATGACTGTGAAAGTAATCAAAGTGGGGGAGTCATCATCTGTGCATGCAGCAAACAGCCATGTGTTGTTGTTTACAAACATGCGCCTACCCATGAGCCATTGTGTTCTTTAGCGCGTGTTGATAACTCAATTTTCTCACAAGCGTAGGTGACGACCCCTACGTTTTAACCAATTGTTTTTCATAAAATTTAGCTCCACAATTTATAGTTTGATCAGTTTTTAAGTCTGTTAATATCCAAATTAAAATTTTGGAATTGGATACAACAGAAATAAAACTCCAGTTATATTTGTGCTATGTTATGAGAGTAAAATACATTTTGTTTCCAACAACACAATTTTTTATATTTTTTTTTAGTGTAGCAAAGTTTGATCACTAAATATTTGTCAATATCTAATTATGTTCATGTACATTTTTAACTGCTCTGTAAAGCCATTCTGAATGGAATGGACTAAAATTTTCAGAACACATGGCCTTGAAATTATCCATTATCCAAAATGGTCAGATCAATAGGTGGGCTAGATGAGATTGAATTACACAGAAATTGCAAACATGGCTA